AAAAAAAAGAAATTAACAAAAGAGAGAAGAATCATTTTTTTAAATAGCATTCTGATTCGTTATAACGAACGTTTGCATTATGATTATATATTTCTTTTTTTGTCATTTGTTTTTACTCTTGCATCGAATTCCAACTAACCATTATTATGCGTTATTTCTTCTTCCAGTAAGCAAATCGTTAGAAAGGATGCTTATTATCCGTGATACGTGGTGCGTTATCGTTATTCCGTTCGTCTCGCGCTTCTCACATTAGTTACAATGACCTTTTAAGAGTGGCTCGTGCCGCCAGTATGCTACGCCGTTCTCGGACGATGACCTAACCATCATCGTGTTGCATTGTTTCAATATTAATTTAAAAAAAAAAAAAAAAAAAAAAAAAAAAAAAAAAAAAAAAAAAAAAAAACAAAAGAAAAAAAAGGGAAAGAAAGAGAGAGAGAGAGAGAGAGAGAGAAAGAAAGAAGGTAGCTTAAAAAATCATATTTAACTTTTTTTTTTCTTTTCTTTCGAACCAAAAAAATCGTTTCAAATAATCTCGAATTAATCATATATATATATATATATATATATATATATATATATATATATTCTTTAAAAATTTTTTATTTATTTATTTACTTTTTCTTTATGTGATTTATGATCGCTTGTAAAAGGAAGAAAGAAAGAAAAAATAAATAGAGAAAAAAATACAACGCGTCCTCTTTCTTTCTCTTTCTCTCTCTCTCTCTCTCTTTCTCTTTCAATGGAGGGTGCATTTCCTCCTACTTGCTTGCACGTCCTTGCGTTATATGACACTAGTAGCGTACGCTTGTTGCGTGTGTGTTAGTAAATGGTAATTATTTCGAAGAGAAACGCTTGCAGTGGCCATCTCGCGGTCGTACGTTGAAATTATTGCCGCGCGACGATCGATAAAAAAGATTTTAAAGTTTTTTTTCACCCGGGAAATTCGAAGATAAACTCCAAAGTAAAATAATTATATCGCGATTTATCAATCAATTAATTAATTTATTTTTCCCTTCGTCACTTTCAATCGTTATTTTTATATTTTCAGATTGTTTAGCATTAGAGCGGATTGAAAAAAAAGGAGAAATTACGAAGGAATAAATGGAGAAAATAGTCGATGATTTTTTTTGAAAGAATATGTATAAGATTTATATATATATATATATATATATATATATGCATATATACCAGTTTTTAAATAATGTTTAATTAAGTGTTCATATGACTGCCTGCGTGCGAGGGTGCGTATGTACGTCCGTGTATCTATTTTTAATAATTTTGAAACTGGAACTTTCAAGTTCATATATTCTTCGAGAAGTAAATTAAAAAAAGATAATTAAATTAATCGAGAGCAAAAATGAGTACTCCGTATCTTCAACCGAGTCCCATGCCAATGAATCAACCATGGATGCAACCTATTGCGAGTGCACCAGCATCAAATGAATTTCCATTGCCGTATGCCCCACAGGCACCGCAAGGTAAATATACCAATTCTTATTATTATTTTTTTTTTTCGAAAATATATAATGTCCAAATCATTATCTTAATATATATATACACTAATCAATATATTTATAGTATAATACAATGAAATATAAAATGTATTGCATAAACCATACTATATTCTATAAATATAATATAATTAGTATTATACTTTATAAATTACTGAAATATATATATATATATATATATATATATATATATGAGAACAAATATAATATAATATAGTACAGTATATATATATGAGATAAATTCGTCTCCTTCTTCGTTCGGTTTTTTTTTCTTTCCTTTTCTTTTCTATTATTTTTTTTTTTTTTTTTTTTTTTTTATAAATAAGGAAGCTTCTAATTGGATATATAAAAAAGAAAAGAAAAAAAAGGAGAACTACCAAAGCAGGGTACCGTGTACCTTCCATGATAAAGGTTACTAGCGATGTATAACGATCAGTAACTAGATAATGGTCGTCTTCGTTAACGGAGATGTCAGATAGATTATTCCCCCCACAGTTTCTCTTTACTCCCACCTACACGAATTGTTCCCTCTTATCAGATCACGACAAACAGATAGACACAGATAGATAAACGGACGGACGGACGAAACGACCGACCGACCGACCGACCGACCGACTGACTGACTGACTGACGAAAAGTCAAAGTTCGATCACGTTTTGTCAAATTTGTAACACGAAGAGAAAGAAGATTTAATTAATTTTTGAAATAACGTTATTTAAAAATACGTGCGTGTGTAAATATACATTATCGTTGATTGAACAAAAATTTAAGTGACATTTTTTGATATAATACATTTCGAGAACATTAAAATATCAGAGCTTTCTCTCTCTCTCTCTCTCTTTCTCTCCCACTCTTTCTTTCTTTCTTTCTTTCTTTTACGTACAAACGTAAAATATTGTGACGGGAAACAAGAAGAATAAAGGGAAAGAGATCAAAAAGAAAAAAAGAAAAAGAAAGCAAAAAAAAAAATAATAACTAAACACTCTCGAGTTTATCGTTATGTAAATAATAATAAAAGAAAAAAAAGAAAAGAAAAAAAAAGAAAAATAAGAAAAAGAAAGAAAACGTCTGAGTGCAGTGATAATCACAAATTATAAAAAACGATGATATATTCTCAAGCAGTCTTGTTCACGTTATCTCGAAATATTTAATTTACGTACGTGCCTCTTATATAATCTTTTTTTCATTTCTTTCTTTCTTACGTTTTTTCTTTTGATTATTTATTTATTACTCTATTTTTTTCTTTTTTCTTTTTTTTTTTCCTGGGTGTGTTAAAATTACTATCGTTGCGTGAAATTGTTTTCCTCCCTTTTTTTCCTTTTTATTTTCCAACTTTTACTCCTCGAACACATGGAACAGATTTTCGTAAACTTTTTCATTACTTGAAAAATTCTTAATTTGAAGAAAACTTTTTTTCCTTTTAATCAAGTCAATCCAAATTTCGCGTATTTAAATGAATGAAACTTTAAAATTGACGCAAGAAATAATTCAAACAATTTCTTATATAAATTTTTCTTTTTCTTTTTTTTTAAGCTAAAATTATTATTATTATTATTACTATACAAAAAAAAATTGTTCTCCGTCTTTTATTTCTTTTCGTTCAAATTTGTCTTGGTTTTTTTTTTACTTTTGCAAAACGTCTTAAGGGAGAACATTTTTATTAAGTGAACATTCTCGATTTCTTGTTTGGATTAATACATTGGAAAATTTTCTACGACCTTTCCTCCGTTTAAAATATAAATAAAGAAAAGAAAATCTATTGTCGTTGATTTGCGTTCTTGTTCCATTTTATCTCTTAAATTTATCTAAGAAGATAAGAGAAAACAAGAGAGTGAGAGAGAAAAAGAGAAAGAAAGAAAAAGAGAAAGTAGTAAATACGTGTCCTAAAGGAAAATACACGACTATATTATCGACATTTACGATGAAGAAAAAAGAAATGCATTATATGTTATGCACATAAATAGGAAAATAACTAAGTGTTTTCGCGTTATCTAACAAATGGCAATATTATAAGCGTGGACGTATTTATTTCGACGATTGTATGTGGATTAACGTCGACGAGACGAGCTGTGTTAATAATAATAATAATAATAATAATAATAATAATAATAATAATAATAATAATAATAATAATAATAATAATAATAAAAAGAAAAAAAAAAGAAAAGAAAGAAAGAACGAAAGAACAAATATTTTTCAACAAAGAAGGAAAAGGATAGAGAAAAGAAAAAGGACAAGAAAAAAAGAAAAGAGAAAAGAATATTTCGAAAAGAACGTGAAGTGATGGATTCGGAATATCTCGAACAATCCTGGAACAAAAAAGTGGAACAGCTACGTAGATATCTTCGTACATTGATTAGGAACACAATTAGAAAATGTCGTTCGAAAAGGAAAGGATACACTAGATTTTTAACCGACGATGAAAAAAGGTTCAAATAGAATATTCTTTTCTTTATACATTATACTGTATATTTGAAAAATTATCTTCCCCTTGTAATAACGTTGATTAATAATATTGATCATAATTTTGATTAATTGATTGACCGTTAATTAATGAGGAAAAAATAAAAACGAAGAAGAAGAAAAAAAAAAGAAAAAGGAAAGAGAAAGTTTATACGAGACATGTGTGTTTTGTATTTACAGGTGGTTGGCCAATACCCAATATGATTTGTCCACCAGGTTTGGAATACCTTATGGGCCTTGATCATTTATTTGTGAAACAAAAAGTCGAACTTTTGGAAGGTTGGTAATAAATATCTTTATAAAAAAAAAGACAAAAAAAAAGAGTATATTAACAATGAATGTCAGTATATATATACTATATATACCATATACATTATATACACATTTTATTATTGTGATGTACTGAAGTAACTCTTAAAATATTTGCCCTATTTATTTTGAGACATCCTATATATATATATATATATTTAATCTCTTAGAAGATATATATATCCTATAACCATTGAAATTAATAATATTAACTATTTTCAGTTATTACCGGATGGGAAACGCGCAATAAATATAACATATTGAATATAAGAGGTGAACAAGTTTATTACGCTGCTGAAAAATCTGACTGTTGTTCACGTTTTTGTTGCGGCACATATCGCAGTTGTGAATTCAAAGTATTTGATGGTATTAGAAGAGAAATTCTTCATATGGTTCGTCCATTAAGGTGTGACAGCTGTTGCTGTCCTTGTTGCTTACAGGTTTCTGTCAATATAATCAATATAATATATACGTACATACATACGTATATATATATGTATATATATACATATACACACGTGTCTGTATAAATTGTAAGAAAAATCATTATGAATGAATTATTATTTCTCATAGGAATTGGAAGTATATTCTGGCGGTGTTCTTTTGGGATCGGTTGTTCAAGATTGGACTATATTTAGGCCATGGTTTTCAATACTCAATGCAAATGGCGACACAGTTTTGAAGATAAAAGGACCATTATTACGTTTCTGCGTAGAA